GCTAGCTCCTCCGCCAGCTCTCTCAGCACTCTCGGGTGGATCCCATCCGGCCCATTCATGTCTCAAACAACTTCCGGAACACCACGCTAGACAACTCCAGAGCAAAGAAATTATCCGTGGATAATGAGTTGAAGAGAGAAAAGATTTTTATATGCCTTTCTTAATATGTTATAGAAAATAGAAAGAACTGCTGAACAAGATAATGACAAATTGGATACTCTTAACAAGATTATTAACTGTGAGTCAGAGATGATGTTAATATATGTATAATACCTGCCACAAAAAAGCTTTTGTACTTGAAGCCTTGAGCGTAGTAATTTAAAACATATATATTTGAACAGTTGTCAAAGAGATAGGAGATAAGTAAGTGAGGATAAAATCATGAAATTACTATTTCTCTGATTTTTTGTGACCAAGGGGTATTACTTTGCGATTTAATTTTGTAACTAAAATGAACACCAAGAACTGTAATGACTTCAACAGTCAATTATGGATGTTCAACAATTCAAAAAAAAGTCCTAACACATCTCAAGTAGACACACATAAATGGACACAAGCAAATTCAACAGTCCCCTTGAACACTGTGGTCAAACAGCACAACTGTCTTTTACTTGGATACCTGTTTTGTTTGGAAAAGGATCACGTTATGAGATTCTGACTCTGGACTCGAGAGGTCATGTGATCTGTAGAATCAATACTACAAAAGACTACAATTTTACTGGATTTTTTTTAAATTTTGTGTTTTGTATTTCTCCTGCCACACATTCAGATGGCAGGCTCACTATAGTGTGTTATACTTCTCATAAGATCAGGAAACCTGTGATACACATTTTTTTTTATTTTAGAAACACAGTGTTGCAGGTTTTTCTTAAACGCTATTCCCTGGTTGACTTTGTCAATGTAAAAAGTGTGATTTTGTCCAAGTCATCCTTTCATTATCTTTTATTTGTAAGCCTTGTTTGCACTAAAAAGTATTTTTAACTGAATAAACTTCTAATTAAAACTTAATTCAGTTTTAATTTAATGAGTGCAGATTCCATTTGCAGAATTCCCCAAGTTACTTTACGATACGTCATTTTAACGTAGGATATAGTTTGCATAAACATTTCTTTCATTGACTGTGGTGGTTTAACCTCAGTCGGCAACTTAGCACCACGCAGCCGCTCGCTCGCTTCCCCCCCCCGGTGGGATGGGGGAGAGAATTGGAGGAGCACAGGTGAGAAAAACTCGTGGATTGAGATAAAAACAGTTTAATAATTGAAATAAAATGATAATAATATAATAATAATACACAAAGCAAGTGATGCACAGTACAATTGCTCACCACCTGCCGACCTATGCCCAGCCAGTCCCCGAGCAGCGGCCCCCCCGGCCAGCTTTCCCCAGTTTATGTACTGAGCATGACGTCACATGGTATGGAATGTTTCTTTGGCCAGTTTGGCTGTGCCCCCTCCCAGCTCCTTGTGCCCCTCCAGCCTTCTCAGTCGGTAGAGCATGGGAAGCTGAAAAGTCCTTGACTAGTGTAAGCACTACCTAGCAACAACTAAAACATCGGTGTGTTATCAACTTTGTTCTCATCCTAAATCCAAAACACAGCATTGTACCAGCTGCTAGGAAGGAAATTAACTCTATCCCTGCCAAAATGAGGACATCATTGACTCTCCTGGTTAAAGTAGGTCTCACTGTGGACACCCATTCTCACTCATATTTATCAGCAGTCCTGGTTAACGGGGGAGGTCCCGGACAACTGGAGGCTTGCCAATGTGATGCCCATCTACAAGAAGGGCCAGAAGGAGGATCCG